CCAAACTCAAGATCATAATACATATTATTCCTCTGTAAATTCTAAATGGGGTTCATGTTCAAGCTCCCAACTTCTCAGATGGAACTTAACCCAGTTTACAAGCTCCCCGGGTGTGCTAGGAGGAGGGAGCTACGGCAGTGTAATATATGCACTATAGTGACAGGTTTACCATGACTTATCAAACTTCTGCAGTATCAGCAAACAATTAAACCAAAAAGCATGATATTTTAAAGTACCGTAAACCTCAACATGCTATAAATGGGAGACAACAGGCTCAGTTCACAAATCTTCATTTTGAAAAGCATGACCATTATTTTCAGCTGAGAACTGAAAAATTAGACGTATGGCTGAAAACAAACCTCATTATCCTTTTGTTTAAACTATGTGATGAACATAATATTTGAAATTTGATGTTATTGCAATGAAACCTGTAAAGCTGCAAACACAGCAGTTATCAATGTGGGGGCTGACGGCAGGGATTATTGGTGGTGGTGTCACAGAACCCTGAGGTGACTGCAATATGGTAGCAAACACACACCTTCATAGGACACCATTACCATAGCTATAGTATCAGCTAAATTCTGTACATTACTGATCCAAATACTTTAACATTTTAAAAAAGGAACAGGAGCATGTATGCAGAGACTTCAGGGACAAAAACGGCATCTGTACAGGATACTGCTGTCTATAATGTAACAGATAAACACACTGTATTAAGACAATACAGTAAACTCCCCATTATCCGGCATCCACAGGGATTGGTAGATTCCGGATAAATGTAGTTTCTGGCTGCTTGAAAATTACTATTAAAAATAGGTCTAATTAATGACATACCCCATACTATACCATATCATAAACTCTGTATAGACTTCATATTAATATTGAAATGCAGTAATCAAAAGCAAAGACAAAATAGACACACAATCATTTCCAGGATAATATATGCCGCAGATCAGTAAGACTGAGTACACAGGGGATTTTTTTTTTCTTGTTAGATGAGAGCTCTGGTTAGTTGAATAACCACAAAAACACTCAGTTATACGGATGTTGCTCATTTAGACAAGCAGAGTCTACAGCATTATATAACCAATTTGCCCCATCTGGTTTAGAGATTCACTATTATACCTTTGTTACTTTATATAAAAGACTTGCTAATAGTTTCTACTATGCATGTTCCTGTACCTGCACACAAATGAAATATCAGCAATTTTCTGTTTGCAGTGTAGTTAATTGTTCTCCATTGGTTGACATTTTAGGCCAGAGCAGGCTCGAATTGAACAACCAGCAGTATTCTATGGGGGCCTATGCATGAAAAGTATGTCAATAAGAACAGTTTTTGTTGCCTATATTAACCAGTCAGTATTCTCTTCCCTTTTAACTCTGCACCAAACAAATGATAGGAGGGAAGCCAACTGGTGGATCGTTTTTGTTGGCACACTTTTTATCCAAAAACCTTTATGGAATTACTAGGCAGGAAGTAATGTGTTCTACCAAATATCACTCAGCATGACACTATCAGCACTATAAATACCTTCGGCTGGGTTAAGTTTCCCCAAACAAAGCAATCTGTGAATTGTTAAAAGGCTTTACATATAACAATTTGTAACTTATATTTACCGGTTCATTTCACTTCTTTACTTTTCACACATTTATCACACAAATGAAAAAGAAAAAAAAAAATTCTAAAAAGAAAAGATTAGGTGTTGGAGGCTGTGATTTAATAAAATGTCAGAGTCTCGGTAGAATATACTGCAGGCTAAAGGACTACTCTTATACAGACACGGGTGGTGTCTATACCAGCGTTGCTAACCATGCCTTTTTATTTTTACCATGGCAGTTATAGAGCAGCACCATCTTTACAGAAGGTCATGTATGGTTCTGAGCTTAGACGGATGTTGTCTTAAGAGACTGTTGAGTATAAGTTTTGGAACTGGTAACTAATAAAATCACATAAGATTTTGGAGCTGCAGGCATCAAAGCACATCATAGAAATGGACTAATATTAGAGAAAAGGTGGGAAAGGCATTTGGAAATTGAATTACCAATTAAAAGTGTCTAAGGTGCTCCTGAGGCACTCATGAAGATGTGAACTTTAGCTAAAATGATCAGCAATATGAACCATCACCTTGACGCCATCATTGTTGATGGCAGTCCCCGCCCCTCCGATGCTTGCACCCCATCCATATATTCAGAATTCAGCTTGCATCACTTATAGCCGTGTATGGCCTCTTTGTAATTTAATCAGTAAAATCCTGAAATCACCTGCTATTGGGGCTATTTGAGGACTTGAATTGCCACACAACACAGCCAGGTGAGTGAAATAATTGTTCAGAACTGGTAAATACAGCTGACTGGACACTGCAGGATCAGCAGAACACCCATGAGGTCATCACTCTGCTATCAACCTCCCAGGATTGGGCTGATAGCAAGGAGCTATGCTGTAGACGCTGAACAGGCATACATAATACATGTTTTTTTTTTCGTAATGAATGCATAACTAAATTAAAAATTCTCTCAAATGAGTCTATATTTTACATACTTTATCAGGGGTTACTGTAAGGCTATGCCGAGCAAAGGCTACAGATCGTCAGTGGACAAACGCCCTCTGACAGATGATTCTACATAAATTCCCAATAATCTAAAAGATGGGTCTGTGGGGACACAGTTTTGCAGCTTTGAGGTGGCCATACACTTTACAACCATCGCAAGACCTTAGTCTTGCGATGGTTGTAAAGTACTTAAAAAAACGTACGATCTGCCCATCTTGGACAGGCAGATCGTACTTGCGATCATCGCAAGCCCGCCCCCTTGAGGGGCGGGCTTGCGATGACTGCAATGTGGGGCGGGCTTGCAAGCACGGCAAACGGGCAGTGTGCGCGTGCGCACACCGGCCCGTTCGTCAGTTGTCGAACAAGCAGGCCACTCACTCGCCGAGAATCGTGCGATTCCCGGCGGGTTTTCCAGCCTGCTTGTTCGATGGAAGACGTGTGACCGTACAGTAGAAACGGTCGCACGCCTTCCATACACTGTACGATTCTCGTACGATCGCGGGATTTCCCGCGATTCTCGTACGAGAAATCGTACAGTGTATGGGCACCTTTACAGAGATTAAAATCAACTGTCAAGTGCTTAGAAACATTTAACATTAAGTGCCAGCTAATGCAGAACAAATATCAATGGTGAAATGTATTTTCTATGATAGAATGGAGGGGTCATGTTTGTACTACACGGAGCGTGAAAAGGTGTCAAAACTCAATGACAATATTGTGACTGCTGAACACAAGATGGACTCAATCTACAAAACTTTAACAGAAGAAAAAAAAAAATCTTTATTTTGCCCATGTGACTGAAATTTCAAATCTCATCACAACTCGACTGAAAAACAAAACAAAAAAAAGGGTCCTTATCCTGGCCTGTCAGCTTTGTGAATTGAGCCTCAGGCATCTAACATGGACACAGACAGGTGGATTCAATAAGGCATTTGCAACACATTTCTGGAGGTTAGGTTGGAGTTGGAAGCCTTGCGCCAAATTCATTAAGCCATCATCATTGTTAGTAGAGACGCGTGCAACAAATTCAAATAGTTCTTATTTACAACACTTTCTATCTGTTGCAACACATTCTGCCATATTGGCGAGAAAGAAAAGTGGAGGTAAATAAAAGACCACTTCCCTTTTGGAGTAAATTTTTCAGCTTCATCAGATTTGCAACAGATTAATATACACCTTACTGACGCATACAGGTTGCGCCATTTGTCGCACTACCGCAAGACAGATTTCTAATGAGTATCTAATACACTTTTTATGAATTTCACAGAGTGTCAATCAGTAAGGATATTTGTGTTTTACATAAAATTGACAATTTTTATGGTAATGAAGCCCACAATGTGTTCATCATACATATAACCAAGCCAATATATACAAGGCCTTAAAGTCTGAACCAAAAGCACTTTAGTATCTTCACTACATACACATCAGCTGAAGTTTTAAATGCTAAGCAACTGAAGATATTTAAAGATTCTCCAGGAGAAGCTAAACTATTCATAGGAGGAGGTTATTCAGTGTGGTACACTTCTTAAATCAACTCCACTTACATGCTAGTGCAAAGCATCTTCAGTACCAGCTACAATCTAATGGCAGGAACTCTTTAGATGTAGCGAGAAGAGAGGAAAGCCCATTGACTACATATCACAGTTGATAAACGTTGGTCAACCCTTGATACATATCTGCAGGTTAAAAACAGAAATATGTAGGGTTGGTGTGGGTCATAAGACCTACCTCTATTATTCAACTTCAATCCTGAGAAGGTATCTTTCTTGGAGAAGCTGTTTAACGTGGACCATCAGGGAAACAGTCAAGTGAACAGCCTTACGATATACTCCTGCACCATACCGCATTGCAAGGTAGGGAATGTCATCGTTTGCCATTTCAGCTTTCTATCCCACATTCCAAGATGCAGGCAGGTTAATTAACATCACTACATTGCTGACTTACTAGTGAAACAGAAATCAGAAAAGCTGAAATAGGAAGTAGTGCTTCCATCTCCCAACCTTTGCAGTGTGGCAGAGTTGTGTACCGCAAGATTGCCTAAATGAAATTAAAGTCTCACAGTTCACATATCTGTTCCAACACTACCCTGTTTACCTAGATTTCCACCCCAAGGACATATAACCTTCAGGCAAGAAAACCGCATTATATTTATTCGAATTATAAGCTAGAACAAACTGCGGAAAAACATTTATTTATTTTCTTAAATAAGTAACTTTTTCCGAGTTCTTGAAATCCTGAAGGGCACTGAATGTCCAGTATTCAACAGTAATAGCAAATTACAATTACAGTAATCATTTGAAGAAAACCATATTGAAAACTACATTTCTCTAGATTTTTTCATATGAGTGGATTATCCCACCTTAACACTTCTCATACTGGTAAACTTGTATTGAGAGACAGACCACAAATCTAGAGCAACAGGTACTATAAACTGAAATAAATTACCATCAAATGGCCTTTATGGAAAGGAAGGAGATTTAGGTAGAATGATCGGTGGTTCTGCCAGTCTTCGGTGAGGATGTCCAGAACCCTTTATACATTCACAGTTAAATAAAGCGGGCAAACAAAACACACACACTCCCCTAAATGGTGCTCTGGCAGGACAGATATTTACATCTTGTTTTCCGTTTTTAGAGAAAAATAAAACAAAAAAATCAGTTCAGTTGGTATGGAACAGTCAGGGTCCATTACAAAAAAAGTAATGTCAATAAATATGAGTGCCATCAATGGATGAGAAGGTAATACAATTATAATTCAGTCTTCGGCTCCTCTTCTGAAGGTTGCTCTGTTTGGGAATCTGGCAAAACAAAAAGTGAAATGTTGTCAAGATCTTTTATGTACTGGTAATCCCATATAATACATATCAATATATTAGCCATCATCTCTTGCCACACTTTCCTGAGCACATTCGTGTATAAAACTACAACGCTACATGTCGTAGCAGCCGGCACATAAACCCCCCTCCAAGTTAATCAGCAAACTGTTAGAATTTGAAGGCATGCATATGCATTGCTAAATGTAGGCACAAGGCATCAGGGGAGATGGTCTAAGACTGGCAGTGCATGTGACCACAATAACATGTGCATGGCTCAAGCCTCACAAGTTGGGACGATGCTTCCAAGATTTGAGGGGCCGAGGAAACAAAAAAAAATTAGCGAATGAAAAACCACTTTGGATTGCTCGCTCAGCAAAAGAAGCCATAGAAGTGGACATTAATATATTAGTGACATGCACAACTCCTTCACCATAAATGTTTCCAGATATGGGGCAGAATACAACCTCCCCCCATTGCGACACTGCTCAGGCCTTAACAGCTAGCCACCAGGCCCAAACACGGTTATGGGAGAAGTAGGGATATCATCCACATAGGTAAGCTTAGACACCAAGCACCACTAAAAATTCTAGCGGGGAGGGATATGGATGGTTGAATAAACCTTGATGAGGAAGAGGCTATTTGCAGACACCATCACAACAGTCTCTTTAGATGTCCAAACGGTATAGCACTACAGTAGACTGCAAACCATTTTTCAAATATACACTCAGATTCACACCATGCCTTATTGTACCTGTTTCTGAACCTGCTAGCTCTAGAATCTTCTCTTCTACCACAGGAGGTTCTTTTACTGGCTCTGGGTCATTTGCTTGACCTAGAAAGGGGATGCATAATATACTTAGAGGCAAAATCTGAACAGTTGCTTTTACCAATGGTCAGGCAGTCTAAGACTTTGTACAAAATCTGTTATGTGCAATTTGCCCTATGTCTCAGCACACTGACACATCCATGTAGACAAACCATGCAGCCTGCAAGGGCCAGGGCAGAACATGTGATAAGTAAATGTCACCTAATTGCTTTTCTCTGAGTAAGGCATCGTTGTGTTGCTCCATGATCAATGACCCTAGCGTTAATTAAAAAAAACAATCACCATGACCCATAAATGATCACAAGGTTTGCAACAAGTGATGGTTTGCACTAGATACCAAACAGGGACTTTGTGACCATTGAGGATGCCACACTTCACAGCTACTAGGATCCTTACTATTAAACTCATGGAAAGCATATATTCATTTGTATTGAATGTTCTCAGCTACAAAGTAGAAAGACTAAAACTGCCAACATAGCAAAGCCTAAGGAAATCTAGCTAGCTATGAAGCTCTTCTGTATTTACCTTGGCAGAGGGAATGACAGAAGTGAACATCCTTGCCCCTCCTCTATCCACAAACAGTATGGAGGAAGTTCCTCCTTTTTCGGCCCCTCTATTCTCTCCCCCCCCCTCCCCCCTTTTTTAATTGCATAATTCCCTTCCACTTTCCCAATAGGAAAAAAAACTGGTACTGAGAAAATGTACTTTTATTCCAGAAGATCTGCTGGGGACATTTTTACTGCTCCCACAGGTAACGTGGCCTTTGCTGAACCAGAATGCCTTGGACATTTGACTCTGATGCTTTAAAAGCCCACAGGGGCATTTCAAAAAGGGCTTGCCCAGTATCTGGGAACTTTACCAAAAAGTCCTTTCTCTTTAAAGGAAAAGAGCTTTTATTTATACACATTTCCCAGGGAGTATTACCCAAAATCTTCCTATATTTATTTTTAGCTTGCACTCCTGTGAAATCACCCCTTAAGCTTTTCAGATGCTGACCAGCACAGTAAGTGCCCTGTTACGCTCAGCAGCTCTGCAGATCAGTAAAGGCTTTGTAGTCTTACAAAACCCGCTGGGTCGTGTATCCACTGAAAGACCTGCCATGCGACCAAGATATTTACCCAGCTATCCTTTCTCCTGTTGGATAGTTCTCACAAGTTCTATAGACAGATTTTTCATGATTTCATAGTTACTACAGAACACTGTAAAGTTACAGTCAACTCACCTTCTGTGCTTTCAGTTTTGGGGGTAGTTACTTTCTCCTTGGTGTCCGTTATATTTTCTCCATTCTCTGACTTTGTGGTGTTGCTTTTTTGCTTGGGTTTAGGTTTGGAAAACTTGGCCTTGTTCAACAAGTATTGAACCTCCCTGTCAAGAGCGCCAAGCTTTTGCTCAATATCCTTGGACAATAAAACGGGTCTTTCTGTTTTAGGTAACTTGGCCTGCTCTGCTAAAGTTTCATTCTTCCATGCCTGTTGAGATATGAAGGAATTTTTTTAACTTATTGTTTCAAATATTACAAAAAAAATCAGGAAACATTAAGTGAAAAATGTAATCTTGATATTAAAAGTCATTGTGTACTTCTATACAGCTTAAACTTACATCTAGATTGCATTCTATTATGCAAATTAAGATTTTGTAAGAAAACAAAAAAAGTCTAAAGCTGCCCTACACGCTCCAAAATGTTGATTAATGTCTGTCTGTCCAAGACAGTTGTCAGTGTGCAGGAGGAGGATGGGGCAGCATCTATGGTTAACAACTGCGTATATGAGGGGTGACAGGCGTTTGGAGGTGTCAAGGCTCTATACAGTCCTGTTATCAGTGCAGCATACCTTTTACATACACTCATAGGTTGGCAAGTGACATCTTTGTATTTTAAATGACAAAATAACTTCCGCACGTCCCCAGTTTCCATCCTGTTACCCATCTCCTGAGCTGCCAACCAAATCCCTATAGTGGCTGGTGTCCATGCTGCATGCCCATGATCTGAATGGTTGAACATTCACTTCTGTATGTTCCAGTACTGTCCTCTCAGAGCCCACTGCAGTCCTAACAACGTGTACAGACGCATAAAATCCTGTTCAGGTATCAAAAAGCTCTTAAAGTATGCAGAACCTACCTTTATGTACTTTTTTAAACTCAGACGTAACCTTAAGAACATTACCAATGTTCCTAAACAACATTAGCAGTGCGTAATTTGTGGTCGTCTGGGTCACGCCTGCTTGTAATGGCAGTCTTACTGAATGAATCAAAATCCTACAAAAACTCAACAGTACTTGCTTTCTAGAAAGCAGAACTACAAATCTTGTGTAAACCCCTAAACAACAGACACCGATCTGCCTACTAGTAACAGGTTCTGGATAATAGTACTTTGCTGCTCCAAAAACCCACATTTAAAACCAGTCAACACCATAAATAAATTTTTTAACCTAATGTATTGATGTGTCCTTACTAACTGGAGGTATTCCCAGCAGCCAATTCAAATAATCAGGGCAGACGTGACGGTAATTTGTAGTAGAGGAGACATAACTCCAATTCTTAGTAAAAACACAGTTATACAAAAGGTCCTTTGTGTGGATTTGTCATATATATCTGATAAACAATTAGTCTTCTCTTACCGATGTCTCATTGATGAGCTTTTGTAAAGTGCCTAGTTCAACATCTGTGAATACTTGCTCGTCTTCTGGAATCATTCTGACAGTCCTAAGGAAGTAAAACAGAGACGGAGGAGGATTATGGCAGGTATGTTTAACATTTACCTACAACAAAGAAACAATCCAGAGCGAATCCCATGTTCCTAATCATGTATTGCAAGTATAATGTGGCAGATGATAGTAAGGTTTCCTGTAGCCGACATACATATGCCATTCAATTATAAAATGAAAATTGATAGGCAAGTATAGGTCTTTGCTTTTTCTTGAGTTGATGATTTAAAAAGCTATTGTAAGTACATTTCTTAACATACACATTCATGAATGCATCCATAATTGTTAATTACATTAAAAAGGTCCCATTTCTTGCTTTGCAGTGCTACTCAGTAATGCATCACTACTCAGTGATGCAGTGATGCTATGGTTATGATTAACTGATCTTTCCCCCAATGCAAGCTGATGAGCTAGCCAACTTGGTGAAATCAATGCTCCCACACTATGGCCCATTTCCTAGCCAGTTAAGTACAGGAAAGTGCTTGTGGAGGCTAATCTACAAATAAAATACTTATCACATTAACACCTATATGGAAGAACAAGCATTGAAAATGTGCATGCCACTTAATTCTTTTTTTTTTTTTTTAAAGAGAACCTTACACCAATAGGCAGTAATCTTAATTGTAGTACAACAGTGGTAATATTCTTCAATTTTTGAGTTCAGTTCCACTTAGAGCAACAATAACAGTACTTTTTTTTTTACTATTGAAACACGAACACCTCATTGCAGCCGTTTACTAAAACACTTCACACTGAAAGCATGAACATAGCATACTGTACATTGTTCACAATTGTTTTAAGACCTTTCTTTTTTCAGTATATATAGATAAAAGCTTCATCACATATGTGGATTAGTCAATAGGGTGGTGCATAGGGCAACAAGGATTTTCCAAATGTAGAAAGCATGAAGAGCATACAAGCAGAATGAATGCCTTCACTGAGATGTGTGTTGCGATATATCTTAGTGGACTTTTTCAGACACACATAGATTTGCAATAGAGACGGAGGTTTTGTTTGTTTGTTGATCGAAATCTTGGCTCATACAATGGAAGGGGCCAATACAATACAGGCCAAACTGGTTTTACACAATGGTGTAGCTTGTCCTGTATTGATTTGTATCACAATGGGATGGTGATCGTAAATAGTCACACCTAGCCTGGTCAAGATTCAAATAAAAATCTTGACTACTGATGGCAATTTATGGTACAACGCTGCCACCTAGATGTGTGTACGTGAAATGCATTGTATTGCATTTTAGAAAGGTGAAAGGGGCGTCGCTTCCATTGTTTTAGGCCAGTTTTCTCCCAATAAAAAGCCAGTAGCTGAAAGATGACACGGCAGTTCACCAACACAGCACTTCAGACCAGGTCTTCACAGGAGGGGGACAGTACGAGGGCGCTTCACAAGACGAGAGGACTTGCTTCAAGACCAGGACATACAAAGGATACTGCAACGAGAAGCCATTCTTCCTAGGCCAAGTCCTGCTCATCACGGAATTTATTGGAGCCTGCAGCCTAAGCTAAGTATATTTTCAGTGTTTCCCCTCCTAGAAATCATACATGTACTAGAAGATAGTGTAGTGGGTGCATGTTATAGTTTGTAGCAGCCTGTCTTGTTTATGTATTTGTTTGCTTTTCCTGTAACTAAGTTTGTATACGCAGCATTTTCGCCAAGTAAAGTACTTTTAATGCTACTGGGTCAGTTTCCTTGAAGTTTACTGCAAGAACAGACAACAAATAGAAATTAAAGTTTTGCCAAGCTTACAGCTGGGCTCATCCTTGATAAGCTTGACGTCTCTGGGATTTGTAGTCCAGAGCATTACAGATGACTACGGTAAACTAACAAACGACTACTAGTGAATTCAGTCAATACACACCCTCACTGCTTATTACATTGTAACGGAACAAGTCTTAAAGCGATTTTAGGCTGAACTTACTTTAAGAAAATGGTGGAGTGATTAAGCAAACTATCCAATGCTGACAGTCTGTCTGGCCACTTTCGTCGCTCCTCTACCTTGAAAAATAATGACTTGCATGCCTTCTTAAGTTCCGTCAATTTCTCATTTAGCTCCTGTGAAGAATAAGAACACATAATAAAGATCCAGAAACATTCAATAGATTTTGATTGTTTTAAATTGTTGATTGATGAAACTACTAGCGTTGATAAGCTCAGCAAGCAGGACTGAATTTAATCACTTGACTATAGACGCCCATCTTTGTTCAAACTTAACTATATGAAGTCGATAATACGAAATCACCTGCACAGACCTAGGATGAAAGGTTGGTGCTTGAAGTGACAACACGGATGGCGCCGTGTCAGATACAGTCTTCTGGGCGACATAGTGGCGTCACTATTTCGCCCAGAAGGGACCGTGTGGCGCCGAAACGTTGGCTATATGACGTATGTGACAATTTAATAAACAGTGCTCTACTTCTTGCACACATCGAGTGCTGGTGACTTCGATTATGGATTATTAACTATATCAAGCCCTCATGGCTATAGTCAAGACTACAAATTATGAGGTCTATGAATTTAAAGTATGGCATTCTTGCGCTATAAGTAAATAGATTTTTGTATCATTGCCCTGCATAGTTTGGGTTCTTTAAAAACTGCTAGAAAATAAGCCTTTCAAAAGCAACATGAATCAGATTTGAAAGACACAGGAGGTAAAAGGACTATAAATGACATTACTCCACCTTGGTTGAAGCCTGATACCCATCCTCTTCTAGCCATCCTGACACCTGTCGAAGCTTGCTGGAAATCTCTGCTCTCTGTTCCTTTGTAGAAACTTTAATAAATTCGTCCTGTTTAAGCTTGTCCTATGGCAAAACATTAGAAAGAATTAGGTAAATACAAAATTGTAATAGGATTTCCAATTGAGGTTGCTTTATTTAGCCAGAATCAAGTTTTAATAGGGTGGGAAAGAGTTAAAAATGGACACAGCTCGAACGTTGAAGCCATGGCACCACCTGGCTTAACAAAACTTAACTGAAGGACCAAGGGAGCTGTGTGGAAAATTGTCAGTCGAACAGTGACTGCATCCGATCAGAGTTTGAGTTTTATTAAAGGAGAACTATGGGGTTAGGGCTTTTCCCCATAGTTCTTCGAAGGGTAACGGGGAGGACACAAACTAGCGTCCTCCAGTTACCCAAAGCTCAGTCTACCGCGAGCTGCAGCTTGCAGTATACTGAGACGCCGCAGCTGAAACGGATCCCGACAATTATGTCTGGATCCGCCCAGCTGCGTGAGTGACAGCTGGCTCTGCCTATCCAGAGGCAGAGCCAGCTGTACCCACCCCCTCTCCCGTCCATTCCACCAGACAGCGCTGGAGGATCGGACAGGGGAGGGGATTATCTAGTCACTCCCGTCGCGGCTCTGCAGTGACAGGATCGAGAAGTGAGCGAGCGCCGGTATGTGTTCGCTCACTTCCCGATCTACTGAGCCGGCCTGTGACAGTTTCATTGTCACAGGTCGGCTTAGATTATGAGGCTGAGTGAAAAGCACTCGACTCATAATTCTCCTTTAAATATGGAATAATGGATGCCAATTGCTTTGACCAGTTTAATGTTATTTCCCCCCAAAAAATGGTGGTTTCTTTTTGTGGAAGGATATCAACAAATGTGTCCACTGTATTAGAACCTTCTCTCACTATGTTACTGCTGTCCACATTCCCCACTTCCTGTCTATTTGGCAGATGAAAGAACAGGAAGGGAGAATCTTACCAGTAGGGGAGCATTTGTTTTATTTGCATTTACTAGAATGAGTAAGAAAAACTAGTGCGAGGAATTCACATTCCTATTGCGCAGATTTAGAGCTGAACCATACTTTGCACTGCGTTGCAGAAGAGCAGGAACAGCTGCAACGTACACTGCATGTGTTAGAGCAAAGCAGTGCTATTCATTTCAAATGGCACATCAACGGATTAAGGCAAAGTAGCTCCAAAGCACAGGTGTCGCATCGCAGTGCAATATGATGAGTTGTGGTGAGCTGCATCGTAAAAAAAAAAAGTTGCATATTCATTTTTGGTCTGTTCTTGTGCATTAGCAGCTCATTAAAACAGATGGGCTGCCTTAATGCAACACACAATATTGTGCGACACCAAGCCGGTGAGTTAACACCATACACAAGAACAGACAGGACTAAATGGGCCCTCACTCATTTTCTGTTCAAGTGACTGCATTTTTCTGCACTGCACATCATACTAGCACTGTGGTGTGGACAGGGCACAATAACTATTGATTTCTTTATGCCCTTACAGTGTGAACGTGCCCTGATGGGACTCAAAGGAACTGAAAGTGCGGGGAATCTTTACAAAACGGAGATACAAACAGCAACAAAAACTTGAAAGTGGTTGTGGACATTCCCCAGGCTGTCCAAAAAACATACATACACGCATACAAAAAGTTGGCTACAGTTACGCTTTAGAACAAAAAAGGTTTAACTGACCTGCGTCTCAAATATAAATGCCTCCAGGCTATTTCCTGCTTTTTCATGCTCATGTTTCTCAATATCTCGCTCTGTCAGCGTTTGTAACCTGAAATAGCAATGTGTCGCATTAATTCCATCATGAAAACACATATTGGTAACTTATCAGAAAGAGTAGCAAGTTTGACAATACGAATGGTCTGCTTTTGTGCATCTTTTGATCAGGCCACGTCATTTTCATGCATTAACTCACAAAAGTTGTACGCGTCACGTACACAAATGCCAGGTGTGTTGTATGCCTGATCCTACAGTGTTCAGTGGTTCCACCTGCTGGTCCCTACACTGCTCCAAGACACAACATTGTCACAGTAGAAACGCTTGGGGTATGGTGTACATTCAAGTCTATGGGCAGTTACTGCACATGTGTAGGCCACTTCTTGGGAACATTTCTGCATCAATCAGGAAGGGGTAAGTAATTACCTGGGTGAGATATTGAGGATGGGTGGGCTGTGTTTTTTTAATAAAACTGAAGTTGTGTTAAAAACAAACACACCACAAAAAACAAACCATTTCTACAAGGGCACCCAGACACCTGCACATACATAGCACTAGCACATATTGTGTACTTCTTACTCACTTTTTAATGGACTTCTTTTCTTCTTCTTCTGGTATACTTGGAATATCATTTACAGTCTGCACTGCTGCAATCTCATCCACAATCTTCTGCTTCTTAGGCACTGCTGGTTTCTTAGGCTCCTCTTCTGGTTCATTTTTGGTTCCAGTTTCTTTAGGGCTTTCAGATTTTTCTTTTGAATCCTAGAAGGATTAATATAGATTTGTGTGCAATATATATATATATAGTCAGACACAGGTAGAGTTACATTTTTTTTTTAAAAACTGGACAGGTCTTTATCCAGGATTCAGGAATCCACTGGCGGAAGCAGTGAATGCCCTGGCAGCTCTGTGGGATTAGTAAACTCTGATCTATGCCTTTCCTGAAACCTCTTCCTCATCTTCCCTCCAGGGTTGAGATGGAGGACATACCAGTGATCCTCATCCTCTAGTTGGCCCAGACAGATACAGAATGCTGACCCTGTAAGACTTCTAGCAGATGCACCCGTAGGCCGTGCCTGACCAAATCTAAATGCCCCAAGGACAGATTTTTTTTTTTTTCATCCTGCTTTTTGGTCACTAGCTTTACCAGCATGGCTGTTGAAGCCCAGGTTCTAAGGGAGAGGGGCACCAGGGTTTGCGATTCTTGTAATGCTCATAGCTAGAAGTCAACTTTTAAGAGTTAATCTGACTATAATTTGTCAAGAACACATACAGGGCTGCCATGGATAGCCTTCTTCTGAAAAGGCTAGATGCCCTGATCAAATATGTTATAACCGAGTGCCTCCATGCATGCTCTGGAAAAGGAAACGCAAACATGACGGCTATGGAATTATCTTTTCAGACATCAAGGTCAGTAGAGGTAGCCTTTATAATTCTCTCATAACTACTGCATGGCATGTCACTTCAATGACTCAACTCATACCAAGTCAGTGGTATTATTTAACAGCAATGACATGCAGGCAGCAGCGGTATGGACAATTGTTTGTCACCATTTACTAAAAAAGGAATATCAGTTTAACGTAACTGACAAATATTTTCATGCAAAAAGGCCATTTCCAAGCAACTTTCAGGAAGTTAAGCTACATATCTATACCTTGGTCTCTTTATCTCCGTTATTCTCATCCTGACTTTTGTTCTCTGCTTTACTAGCCCCAGTATCACCATCTTGCTGCTCAGCTGGCTCTGGCGAGTCCTGTTCTTCCTCTTTTGTGGATTCACTTGGCACTTCCTCTTCTTCCTGCAAACAAAATATTCCAAAAAAAAAAAAAAAATTAAAACCAGGAGACACAAACATTAAGCATGCAATATTTTAGGTATAGAAATTCTTCCCATTAAAATGTTGTATAGTTAATCTTTAAAAACCGCCCAGTTCGTTTGGGGTTGATGGAGGCATAAATCTACTTTAATTTCTGCCATCCAGCATGACCCATAATGGATCAAAAGAGGTTAAGATGTGGTAACGGAGGAGACCATGGAAAAAATGAACATGTTTTAGGTGTGAATGAAACAATTCCTGGACTGGTTTAGCAATGTGTAAGGGGCGGTATGGTCTTACAGGCGTGTTTGTAGGGTTCCGGTGCATTCCAGACCAGACAAAATATGACAAGCAGTATTTTTATGGTCTGGAACGGACTGCGCTGGTGTGGACAGAGGCCAAAAATAGCATAGGGATACATTAGGATGCATTTTGGGTTCAGAAACTCTGGTCTGGTGATGATCCGGACATGGTGTGAATAGGCCCTTAGCGTTGGCCTCGGATATGACTTCTTTGTAGTCTATGTTTGAAATATAGCCTATTTAATGAAAATGTTCCCCTTAAAACATTTTTGCAATTTTGTGACCTGTGCACCTTGAACTTGGGCACTATCTGGCTTCCTCATAATTCACTTTGACAACGTGCATAAAGTGGTAATTTACATAATTATTTTACAGTTGGCAAATCTCATGTGGCACTAAAACCATACAACTTAACTTTGTAGCTGCCTTCATTTTATTTATTTTTTACAGGTTTGTAGCTGCCTTTAGAATTGTGACTTTAGCATCCTATAATACTTTTTCATATAGATTTTTAACCTTTAAAACATACAGCTGCTGAGCACCATGATCTATAAAACATAATTCTCTTACCTGAACGGTATCTGTAGAATTTTCTTTATCTGCGCTAGAGCTTCCGCCTCCAAATAAGCTAGATATTGTATTTCCAAGCTCTGAGGAAGACAAAAAGGTAGTTATTAAAATAGCTGAAGCAGTGACCTAAAAAAGGCAGACTTGAAGTTAGTTATGCCAAACCTTGATTTTTTTTCAGTTGTTTCTACAGATTGTGCCAAACAATGCGGAATCGCTGAGCATGCATGTTTCTTATTAAAGAAGGCACAAGTACTGAGCTTGCATACAAACCGTACAGTGCCACCTTAATTTAGGGAAATCAACAGCCATCATTGATAACACCAATACAACCATTACTCAATTGGGCAGAAGCTTCTAAAATATTAGAATAATTAGCTATTACCAAGTAGTTTGCTGAAGTGTCTGACAGGGGCAGCTTTACTTACTTGTCAATGTTGATTCTTGATCAGACTTCTCTTCTAATGCAGTCTCAAAGACAGATTCAACCTAAGGATACATAGACTAGGTTTAAACTGTAATTTGCAATCACTGTCTTTATTGTCAACTCAAAAGTATTTAAGTATTCATTTAAGGTCTCATGGACCAAAGAGTAGTTCAGAAATGGTCATAAAAGAGATATTTCTGTTCTGTTATCAGAATACTAACACAAATGGCAGTTCACATAAAAAGTGTGCAGTATAAAGCAATGGTGCAACTAGTCCAAGGACTATCCCTATGTTTAACAGTCAGCTCAGAGCTTGCCTAAAGGCACAATATAACCAAATAGACATCATGAACTCCTGCTAAAGCAGCCAGTTGTGGGGTATGGCTACATTACTGCAGAGGGCATTTCCGTTCAATACATTTTTATGAAGATAATTCAAGTGCAAACAATAGACATTAGGTAGTGTGGAACAGCGGCATCAATATGCACAATAAGATATGAACCGAGTCATAATAGGGGGCAATGCAAATGACAGTATGGGAGCAATGGTAAGAAGTATTGGCACATCGTCTAACGAGGTACATAGAAACCAGAGAGCCCAGAAAACAAGCCTGAGGTGTTTGTCCTTCAAGACTATTAACTCTAGAAAAAGGTGAAAGAAAAGGTAAGACAGAGAGAGCAATTGTAAGAGCGTGAGCAAGCAAAGAGGAGAGAGAAGAGGTGAAAAAGGAGGAGAGGTGGGGAAGGGGAAAAGGAATGTGAGCAACAATAGCAAGGAGAAATATATATATATATATATATTCTGCTTGCCATTAAGGTAGGAAAGGGAAGAGACTTATGGGGACCAGCCATGCGAATAGGAGGAAGCCTGCAGGAGCAAGAAACAAGTATATCACCTTATTAAATCATCCCTTGGGCAAAAGGAACAGTTAACTCTTGCAGCGGGGGAGGAGGACCCACTGCAAGGGTACAGATTTCTCATCCCTGGTGGTCAAATAACACAATGCTTTTTGTTTAACTGCAAAATACTCTTTAAAGCTACATTACCCTGTCAAGACTGAGTATTCCACTTTCATCCATGTTAAAATGAGCTTTGATGCCTTTTGATTCATAGTCAGACTTCTTCTGGAAACTCTCCCCAACTCCACTAAGTTTGACTGTGGTGAGATTGCGGGATGCAAAAATTCTAATAGTGAAAAAACCCACTGTTTTAGTATAAAGCTTTGTGATGCACTACATACAATTGGCCAAAGTTGCAGAAGGCAAAATAAGCAGATGGGCAAATACAAAGAGAAAACAAAAACTATACAGTACAAGTCTTAAGGACACAGTGGTCATACAGGCAATCATGGAGTGAAATTCAGACAGAGAACACAAAGTGAGGTCAGGACCACATTCCCAGCCAGATGATATTAGGAGAATATAAGAATGTCACTTAAGTGACATTAGGAGATAATAAAACACAGACAGTCATAGAATCAAATTATGTAAGCATCACATTTTGAGGAGATCAGCTACCATCTATTACAGATCATGGAATAAAGTTTCTACGCGTGACATTGATTCATCTTAAATTCTACTAAACTTCCCTGAGCAGCCTCTGAACGTAAATGATAGACACTGAAAACTAGCAATAGTGTTACTCTGCTATTCCACCGATGTTAGGATTTCACGTTTTATCTAGTGGTTTTCGAGCACTAAAGAGCATTTCTGTTACACGCGGCCTAAAAGATAGCTCAACAAGGTAAGAATCGAGGAGCCCAAGCAGACACATCCTAGGGTCCAAAGCCAGAGGTGAAATGTATGAACTAACCAACCTGCTTCCAGTAGACCTTGATAAGTGGAAAGAAGCACCACAATACTCGGCATATCACTGTATTTGGGGATCAATCAAGCCCAGTTTGCACGAAACTGAGCCAATCTAATTGCAGGGTAATTATGTTTCTAATGTTTAAAAATACTGCCAATGTCACTTTTGGAACTAAATGTGAAATTAAATTGAAAGTGGTGTTATACCCAAAATGCAGTGAAAAAAAGGATTATGAAAATGTTTAATTGCACCTTAAGTCCTGATGCACAAATATTAGGATGCTTAGGTGCTCAAGCAATCTTTTCCTTTTAGTATTAGATGAGAAAATTAACTCACTTTAGGTCTTCTGAATCAAGGAAGCCAAGGTCTCCATAGTTGATATCAAACTCAAAATCATCAGTATATCTATTGAAGGTGATAACCTTGCGCTGAGGGTACGGGGCGAGCCTTTGAAAAAGAATTCTCTTGTTGTGTTTCATACTTTTTACGCCTTCTTCCTCCACCTCTCTAGTGAACTCAACCTGCAAGATGTAAAATCCAAAAGAAGTCAGTCATTAGCAATCCATCCTTTGCTATAAATAGGTTTCAAGATGAAGGCTTTGATAGATTACAGTTAGGACCGCACTATAGAGGGGCCTTGGCGAGGCAGTGCGGCTTCCACATGTTTTGCAAAAGTTGTGCATCTAAAAACGTCTGTTTAGCAGTTAGATAGTGTATTTGTTTGCAGGCTGGCGAGTGTGCTGGGAAATGTCTGTTTTTGTCAATAGCAATTGACGAGTTTATTTAGGATGCCCAGAATGCTCACAACACAACTTTGCAGCACAGCATACAGTAGAATGTATGAAGTCATCTCAGATTGACACTGGGTTCCACCTTTAAAACCACTTTGCTACCTGCTGCATTTGTAATCTGCATATCTCAGCATCAGAGCAGTTTTTAAACTAGCGCTAGGTTACTGTAACAGTTGCTGGTCCTAGTGATGGTTTCAATGGGACTACCAGGGTCCACTGCCAAGTCCAGGAGCTCAACCCATTAGTATCTCTACTTAAGATCCTGCTGCAAAGTATAAAAATCAAAAAATTTGCTAATTGAGGTTACAAGACAAATCTAGTGCCAGCACAGGTATTTTCGGTGACCTCCAGGTTTGAGTAGGGCAAAGCTGTCTGCCAAACTCCCTTCCACAACAACATATCACTGCAATAACAGCAAGCAATAGCTTACTATTTACATATAAAATAATTTGTGGCAAGTAGGAAAAGAAAAAAAACCCACAAACAAAAAACCCACACCAAAAACTGACATCTCACATGAAGGCAACTATTAAACAATGCTATTTTCTGAAATGTACCTGTACGGGATAGATCGCTGCATCTCGAACTACAAATGGCTTAACTTTGAATGCCTTACTAAGAGCAGCTGCCTGGTATACAGCTCCCATAGCTGCTGCTTCATCTGCATTTATGTTCTTTCCCAACTCCTCCCTATAAAAAAAAAACAAAAAACAACACAATTAAAAAATTACTTTCTATAATGCCACTGCAAGATGGTTTAAAAATATAATTTTGTCATTCATTATAAAGGCTCTACTCAAACAATGCACTCACTTGCCCACAGCTTTAAGAAGATGTTCTTGAACTTTGGGTACACGAGTGGCTCCTCCCACTATGATGACCTGATCAATTTCTTCCTGTGAACAAATTCAATAAATTGTGATTATTCCTACTACTCAAGAAAAGCTTCGACACAAAAGCCACAACAGCTTACAAAACGAATGCTCACCATGTTCATTTCAGCGCCGCTCAAAGCCTTTCGCACAGGTATAGAGACTCTTTCAAATAGGTCTCCACACAGTTCTTCAAGTTCTTGACGGGTCACCTTGGTTTTGAAGTCAATATCATCCATTAGACCTTCAATCTAAGCATAAGAAAATAAAATACTTGAGCTGTTACAAGTGAAAGCATTTAGAGAACGAATATAGCTTTTCAGTAAACACTATTGAATATTGTGCTACAAATCAGAAAAGTTCTCTCAATTGACTTAAATCTTTTAATCACCTGCAGCGTAAGCACTTATAACCCTACAGTAGGACTGTATTTTTAAAATTTTCTGTGTTCATGGCAGGTTTGACTCATTGGTTGCAGTGAGGTACTTAAAAGGAGAACTATGATAAACACCATATCTCATGGCTAGGAAGCATCACAGCGGTAAAAATTTCTCTTCTGCCGAAATTGTTATACTTTGCCAGGGTTTTACCCATCCCGGTTCCAGCTTATAGGATGCGTCTACTCCAATGCCAGGTCCTGAGATTCATATGGTCCGGCTCCATCCCCAGAATTGCTAGGGCAGTGTTATACAGATCTAAAAACTGAAGGGGGGCCTGGGACTCCCTCTTTTCCAGAAGTACTATGCGGCGGCCCAGATGGTTCCCCTCCTTATGTGGCACTCGGAGAAGGAGGTTCCCTTATGGGTCTCATTGGAGGCATATCTGTGTGACCCCATTCTCTTAAGAAATTTGCCGTGGCTACCTCCCAAAATGCGGACCACTGTCACATGCCCTATCACTAAAAACACACTACGCTTATGGGATGCCCTTAAGGTATCACAGAAATGGATTTCTCCGCATACTCCTCTTCTCTCCATACAGTGGAACCCCCTTTTCCCTCCGGGATATGAACATCCCTCAACTTTTGGTAAATGGGCAGCTCGATCTCCAGCCCAAGCTAGACATTTTTATACAGCTGCAGGGATTGTATCATTCTCTGAGATACGAGGGAAACACCAGCTTACATCCAGGGATCTTTTCCAGTTCATACAAATTACACACTTTTTGAGATATGCTGGACCGATCCGAGACCTGACGGTTATGACCCCATTTGAACAATTATTGACGCTTCACCCTCACGGCCCAGGTCTCATCTCTCATCTATATGCCTCCTTGATGGACTCTCTACAGAGAGAACTTCCCCCCTATGCCCTCAAATGGGAACAGGAATTGGGAGGACCTATTGGAGAGAACACATGGTCCCAAATCTGGTGCACGACCTCAAAAAGTTATTTGTGTGTACTGGTAGTGGAAGCGAACTTTAAGCTCCTACTGAGATGGTATTTGGTTCTTCTGCGAATCGCCCGTGCAGTTCCCTCCAGATCCCCATTTTGCTTTAGAGGGTGCCAGACTGACGGGACCTTCCTCCACATATGGTGGGAGTGCCCCAAGATCAGGCGGTTCTGGTCTAGGGTGTATCAGCTAATTTTCACGGTAACAGGTCGTTCCTTTTGTAAGGATCCGACTGAGGCGTTACTCGGGAAGAAACCGGTATCATGCTCGTGGACTCAATTTAAACTAACTCATATCCTAACTGAAGCCAGAATGATTGCGCGCTCATGGCGTACTACCTCGGTCCCCTTTGCAGCAGTTAAACCTATCCAGTCAGATTCATTGCCCAAATTCGAAAAAATATGGGAGCCCTGGGTTGTTTCCTATATGCCCCCAAATTTCCATTTGGTTTCACTCATCATTTAACCCTCCACCAGGCCTGTTTCCCCTGTCCTCCATTCTGCTTTTCCCCCTCCACCCCCTCTTCTTTGTACTAAGTCTCCTTCACAAGATTCTTTTGTTCAGGCAGAGCCTGAACGGTGGTTTGACCACCGCTTTATAGTTTGTAATAGACGACTGATTGACATACGCTGTGTGTCTAGATGTATGCTGTCAATTTCTTGTGACATGCATAACACAGATTGTAATGTGCTTAAGTCCTTTTTTGTTTATAGGGCTGTATGTACAGCTTTGATATCATTGTTTATGATGTTTATGTATGCTAAAACTTCTTTTTGAAAATAATAACATTTGATTGAAAAAGGAGGACTATGAGGTGAGTGCTTTTCACTCATCCTCATAGTTCTAGCCGACCTGTGACAATGAACTTGAGAGCCGTGACAGGGGAGGGACTGGATTGGATTTCCCACCTCCCCGTTCCTCCAGCGCTGACTAGCGGAACGGACGGGGGAGGGTACAGCTAGCTCTGCCTCTAGATAGGTAGAGCCAGCTGTCACTCACGCAGCTGGGCGGATCCAGACATAGTCGGTATCCGTTTCAGCGTCTCAGTATACCACGAGCTGTAGCTCGCGGTATACTGAGCTTAGGGTGACGGGAGGACGCTAGTTTGTGTCCCCCCGTTACCCTTAGGAGAACTATGGGGAAAAGCCCTAATTCCATAGTTCTCCTTTAAAGTGTATTTGCACTTTCCCAGCCAAATTGGGATAACACTTATTTTATATTTGTAACGTGTCCCCATCATTCACATAGCACGAGCTAAAAAAAAAAAAAAAAAAATAAGAATATTTTTAAAAGTTATTTTTTAGTATGCTGTGTGAATAGGAACACATAATGAACATATAGAGGGCTTTTACTAAATTAGACTGCAAAAGTGGAAATACACTTTAAGCTAGCCATACACAGCTAGTTTTCGCTCGTTAAGTCCCATAGGAATCTACCTAGCAATCTATTGTATTCATACAGCCGTCACCAGTGGTTGCGTGAATATTTAAACATTAACTGCATCTGAATGGATGCAGCAACAGTTTGGCTGACTATTTCCCACTCGGTTCCTTCAATGCTTACACTTTTGCGGCGCCGCCAGATCTTGCAAACAGTAGATGTGTATGGCCTACTTTGGTCTTGACCTTTTTTTTTACCATCAAGCTCTATGTGGAAAAAAAGTCAGCAAGGAGGGCTTTCCAGCACCACCAGAAGGAACATTTTAGGATCCAGATTAGTCACAAAAAGGAGAATAAATTGGACTGGTTCAAATAGAGCACCTTGAAGTGATTTGCCAAAAAAAGGAGCATAATGTACCTGTGCCATGTGATCATTGTTTGCACTCAGAATAGTTTTGACACGGTTTGCCTCTTTCAAAAGCTTAACCATTGCCCGGGGGTTCTCCCGTACATCTTTTTTGGATTTCTTCTGCTCATTGAAGATTTTTGCCAAGCGGTCACGGAGTCTTAGGTCCATTTCCAGACCACCAAGAGTACGATCAAATCTGGTAAATAAAAATATATAAAAATGTTTGTTTTTTTAAATTTACAGGTAAAGCTGAAAAAAAAAAGCGCATACCACTCACTAAAACACTTATTTGATTCAAATTCCATTTTAAAACAGATGTTGGTACAGTATTTGTGGAATAAGTTTGGATGTTTATTTGGTTACCAAGAACACACCAACCTAAAATTACTACTTTTTTGCTATTCGTGATGTGCATCCTGTGCTTAAACAAGGATGTTTCCTTGAAGTACGTGAAAAAATGTATGCTGTATAAAAAAAATTAAAAAAAACCCTGATTCTGTAAAGCTACTGCAATATTCTGAAACATTCATTATTTCTTACCCAACACCACGAATTTGCAGCTGTGGCTGAATACCCGAGTCTTTGGTCTTCACAGTCTGATAAGTCACAATGGTGCAAGTTGTACTTCTTGATCCCATATCATAAAACATAATGTTCTGTAACAAAGTAATATACCAGAAGGTGTTATTTTGGGCATTTCATGCACAAATGGTTAGATTACCCAGAATTATTATAATTAGAGATGTTAAATCGATCCTCCTCTGCCAATCATCCTGACAAACTTTCTCAGATCCCAGGCACCTAGTAGCTGCAGCTGAACCGCATTTTACATAGATGTGCAATTGATTTAGCAGCTTTACAGTCTCCTAGATCATTTCTACAAAGAACATCTGAGTCAGCTGATTGGTTTTAGAACATGCCTTCAGCGTGTTTTAACCCTTCGAATGCCATGGCATGTGGTACACATCATTGGCAATCAAAGGGTTAATGTACGGGGGGGGGGGGGGGGAAAACCCTT